GGACACCATAAATCTCCCAAGTGGCGACTCTGAATCTTTAAAACAAATCCCCTTTCGATTGTCCTTTAATTGGAAAAACTCTCATCCGCGTCCCTTTGAGGTGGCGCGGTCGAAAAAGGAGGTGTGACAGTAATTAGTTAACTTAGTTGTTAATTTTATCATAATCATTAATTGATAGAATCAAACTATTTATTAAAATTAATATAATATTTAATTGTAAGATTCGGGTGTGATCATATAACCTTATTGGTGCTGGCAGAAGAAGATGGTGAAATGCTACAAAAATTGATTAATAAAGCACCTGTTGTAGCACTATGTTTTGTTACGGATATACAATATACCAAGGTAGTGTATCAAAAAAAATTATATTTATAGTAAATTCTTTATCTTTTAGATTATACTTAATCTTTTTCTTTTTATATTTTAGAAGGAAATTTTGTGATACTCCACTATAGTTGTTAATAATATACTCATAAATCTAACGTCTCAAAAAGTTATATCTCTTCAAAAATGATAATTATATTACTTGATTTTTTAATTTAGGGAATTATTACTAAAATATAGTTATTATGTAATATTTAATTGAAATGCATGCATAATATGTATAAAAGGACAAAATAAAAAAATATCTGTAATACATATACTGTTTAAAGAGGCCATAGAGGTGAAGATTGGGATATCATAATTCATTTGACCATATAGAGGTACATTCTTCCAATCACTTTAAAAAATGAACAATTAACCTAAATGGTCGCACGTTCAACTGCTTAAACCGAAAATAGCCGATAAATATACAAATATATATAATTCATATTAAAAATATATATAACTATGTATAATAAGTGTATAGTTTATGTATATCGACTAGAAAAAATAAACAACAAATTAAGCCGCCTATTTGTCTAGTGATCTCTTAAAAATTTATAAGCTTTTTAGAGTGTGTGTATATATATATATATCGAAAGAGAGATATTTAATGCAAATATTTAAATATAATAATGACCCAAGCAATTTTTCTAGCAAGAAAGTAAACTTTGTAAATAATATTGTTGTACATGATTGTTCTAGCATTGAATTTACTTATGTATGTTTGTTGATACCCCCTAAAATTTTAGGTATTTGATGATAAAGAACGTAGAATTTTCCTTGTCTCAATTTATGCGATACTCTTTTATCTTTAGTAAGTCTTGAGATGAATGTCACGTTTCCTTATCTGGAAATAATTTATCTTTAAAATTAATGCTTTTATTGATTTAAAGCCATACAAATATTTATAATTTATTTTAGACCACAAATTTCAAAAACTTTTCTTTCTTTCATAAACTCAGTATCAAGTCAAACACCACCACATAAATTAGAGCAGGGGGAGTAATATTATATTCTTTGAATTTATAAGATATTTGTTTGGTTTGCGATATTAAAACGTATACAATCAATCTCTCAAAATATTACATTACCTTTTCATTTAATTTCTATTTTACAAAATATATCAAGTTCCCTAATATTTTTCTTATTTATGTAATGATCCTTTTAAAATAACCTACTAACTTTTTTAGTACAAAAAGAAGAATTCAAATTATATGGCAAATTGGTGTTGAGTAAGAATAAAAAAAATCACATTGCTTATCAAAACTGAAACACAAAATTGAGAAGATCAAGTTACAAAACGTTTAACTGAGAAGAGACACATAAAGTTAAAAAGTTAGTGCATTGAAGATGAAGAGATAAACACGAAGATAACAATCGAGAAAACCAAAATATTTGAAGAAGATAATGACGATCAATATAATTATCATTAGGAACAATAGAAAAAAAAACATACAACTAGAATATCATATATAATGAAATATACACATCATTACATGATTATCATAAAATCAAAATGAGTAAAAAAAAATCATATGTATTTAATTAAAATTTGATTGTTCATCATTGTAGATTTAGACGATATTCAATCATTTTGACTTCGACAAATAAGTGATGATACACATTGATTATTTCCACAAACTTATATTTTATTCTTTCTTGTAGAATTTTTTCCTCAATTTTTTTTAAATAATATTGATATTAATTTATAAAATTATGTATACATGATTCGCACTTGCCGAGAAACTAGTATTCCAAAAATGAGAAGGGCAGAGAGTCTGAATATAAGTGTGATATATACCTCTATGCTCAATACGTGGCAGTGTACATACCAAAATTAAATAAATAAATAATTTTTTTATTGTCACTATGTTTAATATTATCTTAATTAAATGAGATACGAATATGTTAGTCTCACTGTTAAATTTCACGGGAGTGAAATAGATATACAACAAATAGTAAAATAAAACAAATTTATAGCAATTCTCCAACCACTACATTATATATTTATCATCATATTCCCTATATCCCACTGGTCTTTGGACATGTTTTCTCCACTCGGATCCCAAATCATACCTCTCATGTAATAACTTAAAAAATAAAATAGTAGCTTACAATAATAAGTTAAATTGCACATTTAGAGCTCGTTTGGACATAAGATTTTTTTCACTTTTTTTTTCGAAAAAATTTCACTTTTTTTTTAAAATCAGTATTTGGCCATAAAATTTTTAATTTTCACTTGAAAATAAATTTTGAAATTTTTCGAAAAATTTGAAAAACTCCAAAAAGTTATTTTTCAAAATTCACTCAGATCACTCACAAAATTTCAAAAATAACCCAAAATTATATTTATGCCCAAACACAACTTTAATTTTAAAATACTATTTTCACTTGAAATTTTTTTCATTTTTTTTTGAAAATTTTACAATTCTTACGTCCAAACGCCCACTTAGTATTAAAAAAAAAACTTAAAATCTACCTTTCTCCAGTTTTTGTTTCAAATGGGAATAACATATGTGACATACGTTACCTGTTACGAGTCCGCAGAGTGACTATCCGCGAGACGCGTGCTGTTCACGAGCTGTTTTGTCCGAGTGACATCCTACGCGTTGGGCTCACCGTGGAGTCACATTCTTACGTGGCGAATAACCAGGCCAAGTGGAAATTTCAGAAAATTAAACTCGAAACATACGAGCAAAACCAAGCGTGTAATACGAGACTTATGGATATACAACATATATATATATATATATATATATACCAAAGAGGCGGGAAAGATTAAACCCTAGTACCCAACCTTTGAGAAATTAGAGCTTCTTCTTTTCATCTTGCTGTGACGGTTTTTCTGATTTTTATCCCCCAAAATGGGAATTAAGGTATGTTTACGCGGAATATAGTGTTTAATCCATCAATTTTTCTTTAGAAATTTCATAAAATGAACTGTTTCTCTGTGAATTATAGGGTTTAACGAAGCTATTGGCGGACAATGCGCCAAGGGGAATGAAAGAGCAGAAATTTGAGAGCTATTTTGGCCGTAAAATAGCCATCGACGCTAGTATGAGCATTTACCAGTTCCTGGTATGTACATTTACCTGTTCAGTGTGCATTCTCTATTAATGCATGTGCAGTTATTTGGGTAATTTGATGGTGAATTTCTGTTGTATAGATTGTGGTAGGACGAAGCGGTACGGAAATGCTCACGAATGAAGCTGGGGAAACTACTAGGTATATTAAATTATACTTTTTTTTTTCCTTCTAATTTGTCTGAAACATGACTTTACTCTTTGCAATTTGTGATGATTTCTGACTGCCTTTAGACGCAGAGTGTTCGAATCCTTCATGTTTGAAGAAGAATAACGGCAGGCTATCTAGTCTTAATTCATACATTGGTTTGTTAAGTTTTTTTTTTTTTTTTAAAAAATAATTGTATTTACAAATATAGAAACTAGCTAACAAGTATTATAAGTTGCAATTTTGTTTAATAAAAATGTTTTATTTTCGTAGTCAAAAGGAAAACTTTTTTTACTCCACAGATAGTAATAGTCTTAAAATGAACTGTAGGGTTAACATTTTGGGTCTTGTTTGTTGCTTTAAAGATTAAAATGGACCATAGTTGTGTACGTGTTGTTTTATATAATTGTTTATGTTAGGCTTTATATGATTCTACTCTGAAGTTGACATTACAAAGCTGTCGCTCTTATTAATTATGATAGCTGTGTGCATTTGCAGTCATTTGGTTGGGATGTTTTCCCGGACAATTAGGCTTTTGGAAGCTGGAATCAAGCCAGTGTAATTTGCTGCTTTAGGTGTTTGTGTTTTTTCCTTTGTCCCTTTCTTGCCTTGTTCCTTTTCAGTAATTGTATATCTTTTGTAACAGTTATGTTTTTGATGGGAAACCCCCAGATCTGAAGAAACAAGAACTTGCAAAACGGTACTATTAGCTTCCTTTATATGCTCTTTGTATTATATCCACGACATACTGCCTGTTTATTCATGTTTTGACCCTGTTTCTTGTCTATGCAGTTACTCTAGAAGGGAAGATGCCACAGATGATTTGGCTAAGGCTACAGAGGTTTGATAGTTAAATTAGTACCTCTTGTGGGCTTATTGTGTTTATTTTACATACCAGTAATATTAGTGTTAATAGTAAAATTAGTGTTAATTTGGTGCGACATTATTGTTAGATTTCTAGTTTTATGTGTTGTTCCCTTTGCTTCATTTTCTTGTTATCTTGTTGTTGTTAATGCTTGTGCTACTGCCTTATTTTCATCTTGCCTTGAGCCGAGGGTCTATCAAAAATAGCCTTTCTACCTTCTAGGTAAGGGTAAGGTGTGCGTACACACTACCCTCCCCAGACTCCACTTGTGGGATTATGCTGGGATTGTGGTTGTTGTTTGAGCTAATTTCAATACTGAATTTAATTTGTTGTATCTTCCACCCTAGGAAAAGGGTTTGGAAAGTGTATGACATGTTCTATGTTTTTGGTCCACTTTTTATTTTTCCTCATTTGTGTGTACATTCACATAATTGATATAGTTGCATTCTGATTACAGATTGGCAACAAGGAGGATATTGAGAAATTCAGCAAGAGAACCGTAAAGGTGGGTGTTTAAATATTTTTATTCTTTAGGAGTGCTACCTGTTTTACCAGATTTCCGAACAGTTGTAAGTTTATTAGTTGCTTCCAACAAGAAATAGCGTTTGTCTACTGCTCCTTTGATCTTGTTGCACTGTAGATGGTTCAAACCCTTATTGTTCTGTTATCTACCAATACAAGATTTGTCAAACTGTGCTGAAAAAGTACAACAACGGAGAGAAGTAATAATGTCAAGAGGAGGAAGTGCCTTTGTTTACACATAATCTGTTGAGCTTCACTCTTTAATGTCATGTTGTGCTGACAATGTTTCAGAAGCACATATATGCTCAAACTCCAAAGCCTGTAACCATATTGATTTTCCGCATTTGAATTATGATTTACAACCTTCTTCAACATAAATTTGCTGGTTCTGTGTAGAAAAAGAAGTTTCAGCTCTCAGTCATTAATTTTAGAATAACTTTTTAATACACTTGTAAGGTTAGCAAGTGTGTGGTGCAATTGTAGCTACTAATACCACTGAAGTGTTTGAGACTTTGAATACAGTGACTTCTTGTGAAATATGGGATATCTGATTGTATGGTATGCTTTGGCTCGTAAAGCTCCCAATTTTTTTGGATTCCAACCCTCTTTTTACATGGTAAATTGCCAAAACCTGTGCACGTATTTGAATGACACATACCTGATTTTCAGGTTACACCCCAACACAATGATGACTGCAAGAAACTTCTTAGACTGATGGGTGTACCTGTTGTTGAGGTGAGTTTGATATGGCATTCGCTGCACCTTTTTTCACGTGATTTTACATACAATGGTATGTCTGCAAAGTACAGTTTTTGCCCCTGATGCGATGGAAAGTCTAAATTTTTCCCTTGATGGTTTCCTTAGGCTCCTTCTGAAGCAGAGGCTCAGTGTGCTGCACTTTGCAAGGCCGAAAAGGCATGTATTCCTTGTCAAATAATAAATTGCTTAGTACTATGCCTTGGTATTAAAGCAAACATCACTAATGACATGCTCAGATTACCTGGTAACTTGTTTGATGCTTCATATCATTGGAATATCTAATTTTTAACGTTGTTTAAGGCCTAAATTTGCAAAATTAAGTATCTTCATGGTATGTATAGTCATTTGCACATATGCTATAATGAAAACTTCAGAGATTTGGTGGGGATTGACAGTGAAATGTTTCTCTGAAGAGTAGTGACGTGTAATTCTGTCAGTTTTTTCACTTCCCAGTCATTCGTCGGGCATTTTTATAGATGAGGTATCATTTTTATAGATGAGGTATCAGATGAGAAAGAGTTCCTCTGCTTGTCAGGTCTATGCTGTAGCCTCAGAAGATATGGATTCCTTAACTTTTGGAGCTTCAAGGTTTCTTCGCCATTTAATGGATCCTAGCTCCAAAAAGATTCCAGTGATGGAATTTGATATCTCCCAGGTAAAATGGTCCTGAACACTTTCTATTTTGTTGATGTCAAGTACATAATCTCTGATATAAATATATATACTTATATCTTATCGCAGATATTAGAGGAGCTCGAACTTAGTATGGATCAGTTCATTGACTTGTGCATTCTCTGTGGATGTGATTACTGTGATAGCATCCGAGGTACCATGCTTGTCGGTTAGATCTCTGTTAAAAAATCATTTGACTGCATTACATAGATTGCAGTAATCTATGAGCTCATATAGCTTCTGCCTCCTTTTTTTTGGTGATAAGTAAATTGGTTCCGACTCTTAATGCATATGTGGTTGGATTGTTATAAGGGAGATGTATGTGTGCTTCTAGCCTTCTACTAAATGATTGTGTGTAGATTTGGATCTTAGGCTACATACTGTCACCATATAGTAGCTTCCTTGCCTTCTATTCTCATCTTTGCTTCCTGGGTTAGAGTGGTAACCAAGTGTTGTTAGAGGCTGCGTTTTCTTCTCTCCCCCNCGTGTTTCTTATGCATGCTACAGTAAATGTCATTTTTTTGGTTTGCACTTTACAAAAGTTTTACCCAAGCCCCTAGGTCCTGATTTCTTATAATCAATCTTACATTAGCATCTGGGGAACTTTTGCTACAAGCTTTACTTATGCTGTAACTCATGATTTTGAGTGATTTGAGCAACAGTTCTTGGTATCTAATCTTTAATCTATGCAATAGGCATAGGGCCCCAGACTGCTTTGAAGCTTGTACGCCAACATGGGTCAATGGAGAGCATATTGGAGAATATTAACAAAGAGAGGTACTTCATTTGATGCTTTATGGAACTGAATTCATCAAATATATGTGAATGCATTCATTGGTAGTGAACTAGCTCTCCTTTGCAGCAGTCTTCACTTATCCTAATCCTGATAAAATGACACATAAACTATTTCCATAAGCTAGTTGATCACAGAAACTATTTCCATGAGCTAGTTTATTATTAGTTCTCTTGTTTCTCAAGGCAGAAAAAGCGAGGAGATGTTAAAAATTTAGTAATTCCTTCTAAAGGAGTTTGTTGTAAACCTAAAGGCATTTCCACTTTTAGTGCGATTACTATTGGAGCCTTTACGGGTTAGCACTATTTGATAGACTGTACGCTAAGGGGTCGTTTGATTACCAAGATAAGGATGTTAATCCCTGTAAAATTTGGGATTATGTTTATCCCATGTTTGATTGGTGGTATTAACTAATACCACTATAAATTTATACCAAAATGGTGGTGTGAGCTATCTCACATAAAAGGTGGGATAGATAATCCCATAGGGTATCCCAGAATTATAATCCCATGGGATATCCTCGAACTGAACCAAATGACCCCTAAGCTCCCGGTATGTGTGGAGTCCCGGGTCGGGTTGGACCACGTTTGATCTATTATACACAGCCTAGACTGGGCTGCCTTTTCTTTAAAATAGTTTATCTCAAAATATGTGGTCTAGTAGCAAAAGCGCTACTCCTGATGTGTGGGTTAAGCACACGCCACTGGTTCGAACCTTGCCATAGACAAAGCCTGGTATTTTAGTAGAGAAGGGTTGAGATGCGGGCCCATTATCTACTTGTGTTTTGAACCGTGTGCTATTGGCCCTTGAGGATTTCTTCGTTATAAAAAAGCAAAAAAAAGGGCAGCCCGGTGTAACTTTTTTTTTTTTGGGTTATAAAAAACAAGTTACAATAATTTTCAAAAAATTTCAAGAGAGAAGTATGCCAAGTAATTGACATACTTGAGTACTCTCCCTGCTCTCTATCTTTTCTGTCTCCATCTGTCACCTTTTTTTGGGTTGTGTGGTTTGCGGAGTGGGGTGGACTTGACTCTAATATTGTTGGTAAATTGTGATCGGCAGTTGAATTCACCATGATTACATCATATGTTGCTTAAAGTATTTTCATTGTCGATCCTATTGCAGATATCAAATACCTGATGATTGGCCATATGAAGAGGCTAGACGGCTCTTCAAGGAACCATTAGTTACAGATGATGAGCAAACTGAACTAAAATGGGCTGCTCCTGATGAAGAAGTGATTTTTTAACTGAAGTTCTGATTTTCTTGGTTGGTTGTTAATGATTTTCAACAGAAATTTCATTTTTATACTTTTACTCTTTAATAGGGATTGATTAACTTTCTGGTGAAGGAAAATGGATTCAACATTGATAGAGTTACAAAGGTATATTTCCCTTTTCCATTGAACCTTTTGCCTCTATCTGACAGTTTCTTCCACCTTTAAAAGAATACAACTAACTACTTTGCTTCTGGCTTTGTGCAGGCAGTAGAAAAGATCAAGACAGCCAAGACCAAGTCTTCTCAGGGACGGTATGAATTGCTTAGCAAAAATCTATTGATGGTTAATGATGTTGGAAAGAACTGCCATTCCCTAAACTTCTTCAAAAGTGGGTGTTGGGACCTTGAATATTATTTCACCTTGTAAAAGCCTTAATATATGTATGATGTTCTAGTGTGTATTGGTAATTTTTTGTGGTATCTTCTAACCATGATGTTTCACATTTTGTGAATTTTTGGTCTCTTTCTTGAACAGGCTAGAATCATTCTTTAAACCAGTTAGCACATCTGCTCCAGTTAAAAGAAAGGTACCATTCTTCCTCTCACCCCCCCACAGAAAGAAAATAGAGCCCTTAATGCAAGAAGAAACATTCAACAAACAAAGATATTTGGATATTCTGCGTCCGTAGCTGTGGCATCTCTTTTTGGTTTTTTATTTAAACTTTCTGACCCTTGTTTAGTGTTATTTCAAAATTAATTTACTCATTTACTGTTAGGATAACATTTAATGATTGCCAAAATTATTCAATTGCTTTCCTTTTATTGGCGATAGAAGAATTGGATATCATTTATATGTTATATTCACTTAACTAACAACTGTAACTTACGTGTATTATGGACAGTACTTGGCTATGTTCTTTTGTCTTCCTTTTAATCGTATCTTGTGCATCTTATGTTGATCTTTCTCGTGGGATTGAATATCAATTTTGGGTCATCTTTCATTTGTAGTGGTTTTCCGAAACCCAAGAAGTTTCTTTCTCTTAGAATACAAATTTCTCAGGCATAGCCTTGTCCGAAAAAGTATGCCCATACTAGATATAGAATTTGTTAATGTTTATTCCAAATTATAATTGGTTGCCCCATAACTTTTGGTACATTGGCTCACAGGGGACTAAATGTGTTCTTGTATCTCCAAATCCTGTTACCAAGTTTAAGACACTCTCCGTACAATCCAGACCCATGCTCCTTGGCAGCCAAATCTTCCCGTCTTTAGATTTGGGATCTAATTACTCCGTGCCGTTATCAAGACACGTCTGCTTTGGCACATGATGCTGTAAACCCCTCATGAACTTTGATCTCTAAGTTTTCGCCATTCATAGTTCAAAATTCTCTAATTTAGGTATTACTTTTGCTAAGATTGCCGTGCTGAATAATGAATACTGAACCTGTGAAAAAGAAATTTATTGAAGAAGATTAAGAATAGAAATTGTTAATTCATGAAGATACAGGCGGTGCAACTCAAAATCATCCTCCTTTCTAAAAACAGAAAAACATAATTTGTTACCTTTCTAAATAAAAAAGGGTGGTCCAACTCAAAATCATCCTCTTAAAAATTGTGTCCATGAACTACTTGTGAACAGACAAACATCAAGCTGAAAAGTAATGACTACATAGGTTGAGCTGGCAGTAGGGATAATGACTTTGAGAACTGCAATTTGAAAAATTTGGTCCATCTTTTTGCTGGAAGTTATTATGTTAACAGATACTTTTTGATTTCAAATGGACAACAGTTAGTATGTTTTTAAGCTAAGTACTCTTGGTATTATTTTCTATCTGTGACATTTTTGGTTTAGTAAATTTTTGAACAGAATAACTACTCTGAAACGACATATCTTTGGGTGAAGATGGGATCTTAATATGACTCTCTATTTGGTCACAGGAAACAGCTGAGACTACTGAGAAAGGAGCTGCTAACAAGAAATCAAAGGCTGGTGGTGGTAAGAAGAAGAAGTAGTTAGCATCAAGTTAAAGCTTGCAGTAAAGTGATGGTTTCTTACCTTGTCAGGTAAAGATGATTTGACCTAATTTAGGTTGCTATCTACTTTGACTTTGTCTGCAGCATAGATTCTGATGGCACTTTGATAAGTTTTCCCAAATACCATTGCCCATGTATCGAGCCTACTTGGTGTATAAGATGTCAACTGAATTGAAGTGGCTAATGTGTTTCCTTTGGATTTTTGTCGACTTCAAAATTAGATTTAGAAATCCTTTTGGTTTCTGCATAGTAATTTGGTGTCCTTTCAATGCACCAATATTACATGCAGTTTTCAAGATCTAAACCGGATAGGAATTGCAGTATGTAATTGAAGAGATATCAAGGATTCGTAGTTGGAATGTAATGGAAGAGAAGATAAAAAATGACTTTGTTTCTTTTCCATAGTGTACAAGTGAAGAAAAAAAGAATTGGATCATCTATTCACAAGTACTTCCAAACTTTGGATTAATGATGAGTGCAAAACATAGCACAAAACTGAAGTTGGCTAGTCAAAGATAATATAGTAAAATATCGTTTCCATAGGGATTCAATTTAAATAATGTTCAAGTAATTTCTGGGTTAAATGCTATTCAAGAGGTTCAACACTTTGATTTGGGATGAGTACAGACTATAATGAACCACTAAAAGTAAAACAATTGACAATTGATGGAGAAGAACTAGAGACTAGCAGAGTTAGGTTGTTATCAATGTGAGAAGTAAGGTCATGACATGATAAGTGCAAGATTGTTATCCTGGAATTGACATTGTTAAATTTCACTCAATGGTCTATTGATTCTCTCGAATTCAACATGTTATTATCCTATTATTTTGACTCTTAAACCTAAACTATTCAAATAAAGCTAATATGAAGTGCGGTGAACTTGCAAGAATCTATTGGTAACAATAGTTTAAGAGAAACTTTCTCGAATATTTCTCAATCTTAATTCAAAAAGTAGATCACAAAGCTCTTTTGATTTCTTTAAAGAAGTACCAAAATAAATTAAGGCATGCGTTGCAACAATATTCAATATTATGCTCCTCTTCCGATTAAACACAATAATGAATAAAATCACAACTAGCATTAAAGCTCTTCCGATAAATTCAAGCAATCAAATAATAATCAAATCCATAGATAACAATCAAGTCACTAAATCATGCCAAATTCTAAGGTAAACTACTCCATAGATATGGAGAAAGTCATCATAAGTAAGTTTAAGAATATAGAAAACATTAATCCAACATTACAATCCGAACTCGCGTAGTGAATTGATGGAAAGATGATGAAATACTGTTTTGAAGCCTCCAATGCTCTCCAATAGTTCCTAGGTCAAAGGTCCTCTAAAAATCGTATTTTTTGGTGTATTTATACCATGTAGGAACGAGCCCGGACGAAACTAACATTTTCAAACTGAAGTAGGAAAAGTTGGGCACTATTTTGTACTAGAGCGCCGCCCCATGCGCGGGCCCGTGCACATGGGGTTTATCAGAGAGCTAAAAATTTCACTCTGCAGGAATTTTGCACTAGCACCCCGTGCCTCGCGGCGCCTGGCGCGGCGCGGTAGTGCATTTTTCTCAGAGTAATATTTTTCCCTCACTTTTTGACATCCAGACTTTGTCCTCGACTCTCGAACGTGATCTCGACTTAATTTCTTGGGCTTCTACTTAGGCTTCAAAGCTCCAAATCATCTATTTTAGCTCCAAACTTGCTTCTTCACTCGAAATCATATCCTACACAGCATAACACACATAATAAGTACCAAGTACTAACAATTAGGCTTAAATACACATTTAGAATGTAGTTACTTGAGTGTAATAATATAGCCAAAATACAGGTTCCTAACCTACAATCAATTAACAGTGTGTAAAAAGTTTGATGTGCGTTTCACTTAGTATCGTCATGATTTAACTTGACGCTAGTTAAACTTTCATGTCTTTCGTTTTTGTTCTCTTTGTGGATACAATAATGCATTGTGGTTTCCTCTATCTCCTTGGACTGACAGTCAGCGGTTCAGTCGCGATGCTGCTTGCGGAGATCCTTGGTAGCTGGTGCCTCAATTTTGTTTGTTCTTTTGGAAGGAAATACTCCAATTAGTCAGGCCTCCTTTCAAATGTCTCGTTTCTTTCATGTGTTCTGTATTCCCCTCTCTAATGAATGAATTGGTGTCGGTAGGAAATAGTTAGTGCACTGGGCATCTGAAACTGTTTTTTAATCTAGCACTTGTCACACTTTGATGTTAATGTATAAATCTAGATTACCCTACGGTTCTCGTCCTATGTAAGTTGGCATTGCTGTCGGTTGCATGTACACCTTAATGCACAAAACAATCCTAATCTAGCCCTTGGCACAGTTGATGTGATGGCTTACTTCTCTCGAGTCTTAGGCATTGTCTTGTTGCTCGCAGAATCAGTGGCGGAGGCAGGATTACCACCAAAGGGGTTCAAAAAAAAGGAAAAAAGTTCAAAAGGTCATGGCTGGTGGGAATAGAACCGAGGACCTTACAAAGGTTTTGAATCCCCTTGACTACTAAGCTATGCTTTTGGGTTGTGTCAAGGGGATTCAAAACATAATATATAAAGGTAAAAAACAGATTTTGCCTTACATATACAGTGTAATATTTCGGCGAAGGGGGTTCGGGTGAACATCCTTCCGCCACCCTAAATCCGCCCCTGCGCAGAATCCGTTAACTACAGGAACCAAAAACCATTGCAGAAAGATGTGGGAGTCGATGAATAGTATAGCCCCGACTTGAAAAGATTGCCCTTGGAGATACTATCACATTGCCCGTAACAAAACACCAACTTAAATAGCAAAAATCTTAAATTCTTTTTCCAGTGGGTGATTACATACAACTAAAGAAATGGAGTTCGAGACTGGTGGTATCGATGAAGTAACTTGTAATTTGGACCTCTGGCCGAAACCACTAGTATTTGAGGTTCTAAAGTTGAACTCGTAGGTCTGATTCAAAGTTAACCCAAAATATTTGCTCAAACGTTCATCGATTATCTAATTCAGCAGAACTCTAGTTGAGCTCCTTCTACTTTTCTTTCCAAATAATAAATGGCTTACCTGTTGCACTACGCTTAATTGGGTCTACGCCACGCATTTTTACTTCACATTTTTCCTGCGTTTTACCAATTACCAGGTATAGATTGGAAGTGGTCTTATAGATAATTACCATATGATATGGAAATATTTGGTGGAACAATTTTTTTTATTAATCTGGGTACTTGCTCTTACTGTGAGATTTTTTTTTATGGCACGCGTGAATGTAAACTGTATCATATGGAGAAGAAAAAAAAAAGTGTTCGATACGTGTCACATCCCTTTTTTAACTTCACTAACCCTCTTTAAAATATATAAAAAGATTTGTAAAGCTCAGAAGGATTTTCAAGTTCGAAGGTGACAAAAGATTGTGTTTTAAAAGATTGTTCAGAGTCGCTATCTGACATTTGATTTCGGTGTGTTAGGTTACCGTTTATTTTTTTTTAAAAAAATACTTTGGACTCCAAAATTAAGTCCGCACATTAGATTTGAGTAAGAGGGTTCATTTGACTCGGGGAGGAAGTGTTAGGCATTCCCCGAGTCCCATAACTAGTACGGTTGCGTATATGATCTAGTTGACTTTTAAAATATTCAAATTGAGGTAAAAATAAACACAAAAAAGAAAAATAAACACAAAGGAGGTTCGAGGTCGTTTCCACCTAATAGAAAAATAAAAATAAAAATGAAAATAAAAATACTACGAGTTCTACTTTCGGCCTCCAAATACAAATACTTTGGGGCATACCCCGAATAAAAATATATACAAATTTCGCAGGGCATTCCCCGGATAATAAACTAAAAGAAACGACCTCTCTCCTCAAATAAAAATAAAATAAAGAAAACCTAAGATTTGCCTACCCGAGTGTGACCGTCCTAAGCATGCTCCTAGAGATTAAAAATAAAAAGATAAAGTAAATAAACAAAATAAACATAATAGTAATCTTCCTTCGCATGCAGACAATGACGATAACCCGATTTCCATTCAATTTCAATTAATCAGATTCTTTTATCTTTCAACACCACCCTGTGACCCAAAAGCAATTTACTTTCTTTTCTTAAGAATGCTGACAAACTAAATTTATATCATTGTATTTAGCCAAGTAATTGCATTAATGCACCAGGAACAAACAACGAGTAATTGAGAAGCGCACACCGAAACTCGAACATATACTAGCTCTAATATTAACTCTAGATTCTAAAAATAATTTATGAAATTGGACCTGGTATTAACTTAAAGAACAAAGCCAGTTCAATTCTATTCAAGTGCTTCCAGTTATACTCATATTTTATACCATAAAAACAATTGCCTGAAATATTAACTAAAAATAGAGATCTCACGCTCAGTCTCACGTGCTAACCAAATACTCCTCATTTCATCTCAATCTCAAACTTGAATTTTTCTGTTTGTATTTCCTTTTTTGTTTGTATTTTTCTGATTTTTTTTTTTGAAACTTTGATTGAAATTCAATCAAATCATAGAACCATTTTTTGTATATGTTTCTGAATCTAAACAATAAACCAAAAATCATGTCTCTCTTCCCCTCTGTTAGCTGCTCGTTTTTGAAGGGTGGCCGTGTGGGGGTGTGCTGGCGTCTGAAAAAGTGGTATGGTGATTGAAAGATAAGAGAGGGAAGGGNATAGGTGGTGCGACAGCTGGATCTTTTAGAGGTTAGGTTAAGTGTGGCTGGCGACGGCGGTGAGGGCGGCAGAGGCTGCAGTGGTTCTGGGAGGGGTTGTTGGATGCTGATGGAGCTCTTAGGTCTGTCTCTAGGGTTTTTGTGTTAGGGTGTATAAAAAGAATAAGAGAAGGGGGTCTTAGAGTTTGAGCTTTAAAATTGGGCCATCTCTTTGGACCTCTTGAATTAAGACCAAACAAAACTAGCCTCAAATTTCATACTCTTTCTTCTAAAAATGATATAAAATTTATAATATAAAATATAAAACTAATTCTAATTAACTAAAATAAATAATATTATATTGTGAAACTATTTTGGTAGTTTTCAAGATTATATAAAAATAAAAATCCTAGTAAAATAGTATGACTACAAAACATTAATGACACTATTTTTTTGTAATTTTCGTTTTTGTGATAAAATAAAGTAAAAGAATCAAAGCTAGTTAAAATAGCGATATTAGACCTAGACTAAATATTTAAACACTAAAATGTGCAAAATTTCGGGGAGGGTCAAAAATTACATGTCTACTGCTGCCCCTCTTTGACTGGAAACACGTGGAATTTTCAGACAAAGAACGACGAGATATGATTTTTGACTCGACCCTTATTAATAGAGACCAAAAACTAAAAGAAAGGAGAATGTGACTGAGCCCTAGTATTTGAGCTGCCTACATATCCTTGATTATAAAAGAATCAGGCCACGTGTAGTTCAGAAGTAGGAAAAGTAGAGAAGGATACCGAAGTGGAGAGTCGAGTGAAGTGCCGTAGAGGTTCCGGTCCGCGGTTCCTGTTATTACATCAAAATTGAAAGCAAATTTTACAGCAAAATAAAAGAAAAATACAAAATTCTATCTACTCCTTGTCTTGAATCTCCACTTACTCCTTCAACACGAAACTGAAAATTCACCTTATTTTTCAGGTGGACATTCTGCTGACTTGAATTTGAAGAAAACTGGAAATTGACCCTGTTCTTCAGGCGGGCTCTTGCTTCTTTAACTTGAAATAAACATGAAATTTTAGTAGACTTAAGCTTGCAAACCTTGTCTTTCGAGTAGGCTCTCACTACTTCTGATTTGAACTAAAAATTGCCCATATTCTCCAGGCGGGATCCTGCAGTCTTTGACTTGAATCTTGAAAACTGAAAGTTGACTCTGTTCTTCAGGCGGACTCCTGCTATCTTTGACTTGAATCTTGAAAACTGAAAGTTGACCCTGCTCTTCAGGCCGGCTCCTGATGCCTCTCCGACTTGAACTTGTAAACTGAAAGCTGACCCTGTTCTTCAGGCGGGATCCTCCTGCTTGATTTTGAACGAAATTGAAAGTTGACCCCGTTCTTCAGGTGGGCTCCTGACGCCTCTCTGACTTGAACTTAAAACTGAAAGTTAACCCTGTTCTTCAGGCGGGCTCTTGGTGCTTACAATCAAAACAACAAGCGAACAAAATTTTCTGCCCCAGTTTGCACTAGGAAAATTTGTGAGTTGTTAGCAATACTATAAATCAATGATGATGGGCTATAATTGCGTGTTTTAGTTGATTATTACACTCTAATTTACTGCACTTTAGTTGAGTTTGCGCTTTAATCGCTAGTGTTTTGCACTAATTATGTGTTTTATGCCTTGTAGGTGTGATTTCGAGCTATATAGATGTTATGGAATGAATTTAAGTGATTTGAAGCTTTGAAATCTGAGTAAAAGCTCATGGAATTAAGCCGGGATCGTGTTCGGGGGTCAAATTTGATAGTTGAGAACAAACGAAGACTTGATGAAGCATATTGCACACTGTCTAGTAAAATGCACATAACTTTTTACTCAGAACTCCATTTTGGCTACATAATATATGGTTGGAAAGATAACACAAAGGGCTACAACTTTCATGTTTTGCGTTTGTCCAAATTCCAAACGTAACAGGATGAAACACCGCGGTTTCACCGCGACCGTGGCAGAACCACGACAGAGTGCAGACACAGACAATTGAAGAATCATAGGCCATGTTTGGCCGCGGTTTGACCGCGACCGCGGTAGAACCGTGGCAGGAGGCGGAAATTTCAGGGACTAAAGTGCAAAACACAGGATTTTTAGCCCCAAACCCTATTTTAAACACTAGACTTCGCCCAAGAGAGGCATGTATTGTTTTGGAGAGTATTTTTGGAAGAAGAACAAGTGTGAGAGATCACCCAAAACATCTTGGTTTCTTCTTATCTTTATTTTTCTTGCAAGTTTTATGATGAATATTGTTTTAGTTTATTTACCCATAGTTATGAGTAGCTAAATCTTTTGTCTAAGGTTTTGATGGAACCTATTGGGGGATGAACTTCTTGTTTATGTGAATACAAATTGCTAGTTTCAATCTTTATTTATTCAACTATGTTCTTGTTGTAGTTAATTGACAGGATCCTCAATTAGCTGTGCCTATTTAGTGTGCATAACTCGGGAGAGAGTGCATATTTAGGTTATTGTTGAATAACACCACTCCTAAAGTATAAGAGGAATCTATAACTGCGGGTTTAAAGGCGGGATTAGGGATAACGAAGCCTTGAGTGCAATCTTAAGTGAACTGTGTTAATTAAAGTTAGCTAGTGTATCTCGGGAAAGTGCAATAGTATATTACTGTGATTATTCGGGAGAGATTTATGGTAAGACGAGCGTTCATGATTGATAGAGAAGTGTTGATACATTTGTATGAAGCATAAACAGAAGAGATTCCATCAATAGGGGAAATCTTTACCTTAGCTTTATCTCATCATTGTTTACAACCTTAGCGTTTTAGTTTACAACCTGTTTAATTTACTTGCAATCTTAGTTACTAAAGAAACCATCAACTTGTGATTCAAACATTTGGGAAGCTGGTTCTGAAGAGTTTAGTGGATCTAAAGATTATGATTGATAGGTTAACTCTCTGTGGGATTCGACTCCGGACTTGTAAACCGGATCATATTTGCAACGACTGCATTGTCCTTTTTATAAGGCATAATTGGGTGTGATCAATCAACTATGCTATTGATGAAAGATGCAATGATGAGAGTAAAATTAAAGACTCGATTAGGATGTCTCATGTGAGATTGAGCTTAAGGAAAAATATAAACTGAGCTTGATTAAATTAAAAATTGACCATATTC